CAAAACGGGGATAATGGGACCATTTGACTCAGTGAGTGCTTAGTGCACACTAGGTGCTATTGGTAATACTGCAACTAACCTCCATAATCCATCATTAATATGCACACCCACCATCCACCTGCCCATCCTCCATCCACCTGTCCATGGGCCTCCACTCTTCCTTCCTCTCCTCTCTCCTCTGGCCTTGATTTGGATATCATTTCCCCACCACCACCCATCGCCTCTTGTCTGCTCTTTCTGGTGTAATTCTCTTTCCTTTGGGAGTGTGTAAGGAGAGCTCAGGGCATTGACTGGATGGCTCTGAGGTTTAACTGGAGCTTCACGGAGGATGGGGTTCGGTTGTGCGAGGAGGCAGGACTTTCCTCTGTGTCTCTCATGATCACTGACCACTGAGTGGTCTGACTGTAGCCCCCAGGCCATCACCTATGCTGATGGAGGCACGTGTGGATCTCATCGACCTGGACTTGTGTAACTCGACCCAGTGGTACAATGGGCGCATTCAGCCGACCAACGTGTGCGCCGGCTACCCTGCAGGCAAGATCGACACCTGCCAGGTAACCTTCCTTCTGGCTCCCAGGCCCCTGAGTCCCTCCAGGACTCTCCAGGCCCCTGAGAACATCCCCTTTTGGATCCCCAAGTTCCACTATCTCCACTCCTCTGCCCAGGGTCCTACTCCAGTGATTGTTTCCCCGGTCCCTCTTCCAGCACCTACAGTCACAGTGGGGATGAGAGGTGACAGCCACCAGCTGCCCCTGCCATGTGCCCCTATGGACACATGGTCTTGTTCATCTCATTGCCAGGAAACCCCTGACAATCCACACCCTCCTCACTACCCAAATGAAGCCCTTGACACCATCTCAAAGCACAACCACTTGTGTTTACAGCAGCGGGAAACCACGTGGCTGTGGAAATTATCCTCCCAGAGCCTTCTGATCCCTCTGGGTGGGGAAAGAGTGGCTCAAGCAGAGAGTGACCTCTGTGTCCTTCTGGGCAGGGGGACAGCGGCGGGCCTCTCATGTGCAAAGACAGCGAGGAAAGCGCCTATGTGGTCGTGGGAATCACAAGCTGGGGGGTAGGCTGTGCCCGTGCTAAGCGCCCCGGAATCTACACAGCCACCTGGCCCTATCTGAACTGGATTGCCTCCAAGATCGGTTCTAATGCCCTGCATATGATTCAACCGCCCACCCCTCCACGCCCCGCCACTCGACCGCCCCCAATTCGACTCCCCTCCTCCCACCCTGTCTCTATTCACCCTCCTTGGTATTTCCATCAGCCCCCTCGACCACTTCCACCCCGACCACCTGTAGCCCAGTCCCGACCCCCTCTTCAGCAACTGCCCTCACCCCCACCCCCGCCCCCGCCCCCACCCCCACCTCCACCTCCACTCTCATTTGCCACAAAACCTCCCCAAGGACTTTCTTTTGCAAAGCGCCTACAGCAGCTCATAGAGGCCTTGAAGGGGAAGACCTATTCTGACGCAAAGAACTATTACGACATGGAGACCACAGAGCTCCCAGAGCTGACCCTCACCTCCTGATATGACCCCATTGTCAACAGACCCAGTGAGTCCTTCACTCCTGAGAAAAGGAAAGATGAAATAAATAAACATATATATACACACACACACACACACACACACACACACACGTACGTATACATGCATATACACAAAGAGATGCTTTCTGGACTTCTTCCTATCTCCCCTCCCAACTCAACCCAAATTTCCCCTATAAAATCTACCCTCCCTCCTTCACCCTACAATAAGGTGGACTTGCTTGTACATTAGTGTCAATTGTGTTTTTTAAAAATCTTGATTTTCAATGCTGGAATAAGGTGACCTGGGGCTGTAGGCCAGGGATGGTCTTTATTTCTTACTTAGGGAAAACGACAAACGGTGAAAATAAAAGAGCTATCTCTGCATGTGCAAGTCAGAGGGGGTGGGTCCCCAAAACAGCAGCTGTGAGTGAGCTGACTGGGAAGGAAGGGGTGTGGGTCCACGTCTATCAGGAGGCTGTGTTCTCCTGGTGGTGTCGACACCCACAGAGAAGATTCTGCATGAAGGCTGAATTTCCCCAGAACACAAAGGCTAAGGAGGCCACTGGCGACCAGAACAAGTGCCTACTTCCAAACATAATTTTGCTTGTGTGCTGTTCATTACTTGCCTGTAGGTAAGTCTTATTAGTTCCTGGATTTGAGAAAATTAAAAAAATGTATTCTTTGTTAGAGCTTTCCAGGAATTGCGATGGGGAATGCCTTTTAGATGCCCCTGAGTGAGCTGTGAATGGCTTCCTTAGGATTTGGGGTTATTTATTATAAGATCTTCCATTGCAAGGAACAGAAATCAGTTAGGACATTTAAGTGATAAGGATGCGAAGATGTCACACAGAACCAATGAGAAAGGCCAGAAGCAGACACCAAGAATGGTGAGAAACGCAGGCAAGGCATGACCCTGGTCTGCAGTGCGCATGGAGTACCCGCCCCACCCTGCCCCATGCTGGGGGCAACTGTCACCTGGAACTGTTCACATCCATTTGCAAAATCCTGGGAAAGAAATCCTCCAGCCTGACCAACATGGTGAAAACCCGTTATCTACTAAAAATACAGAAAAATTCGCCGGGTGTGGCGGTGGGCGTCCGTAATCCCAGCTACTGTGGAGGCTGAGGCAGGAGAGTCGCTTGAACCTGGGAGGTGGAGGCTGCAGTGACCGAGATCATGCCACTGCACGCCAGCCTGGGCGACAGAGCAAGACTCCACCTCCAAAAAAAGAGGAAATCTTGATAGGTTCAGGCCAACTACCCGCTCCCATCAGAGTAAAACTTGACTGCGGATTTAACCCTTGCGACACTGAAGATGGCAGGTCTCAGAAAACCCTGGCTCCTGGCTGAGCCGTGGTTGCAGCAAGCTTTCCCTCACATGTGTGCCCACCTAGCTGCTTGTGAGTCAAGCACAAGGCGTTTCTGTGCCCTGGTGACCAAGACAGATGGCAGAGATGGCACCGCAACCTCCGCCTCCCGGGTTCGAGCGATTCCCCTGCCTCGGCCTCCCGAGCTGCTGGGACAACAGGCACCACCACGCCAGGCTAAGAAGCGCCACTTCCGCACTCAGCCGCATGCGCACTCCCTGCGGCACGCCCTTCAGGCGCCGCGCTGGGCAGCCCGCGCCCCGGCGGGGGTCCTTCAGGCCTTCGACCGGGCAGCCCTGCACGGGGTCCTTGCGCGGTTGCGTAGCAGCGGTGAGGATGCTGGTCGAGCCGGAAGTCGAGGGTGCCGCCGCCGCTAGCGGGGCCGGCGGGCGTGGTTCGAGACCGCGCAGAATCCAGGTGGGCTGCGGGACCTGAGGGGCCGCTGGCCGCGTGTGGGCCGACCTGCAGCGTCCTTGGTCTCTCCAGCCCTCACCTGGGATCGCACGTGAGAGCAAATCCTCCCCAGTGGCGGGCTCAGCACCCGGGAACAGCGCCTCCGAGGCTGCCCTTGGGATCTGGGCGGGAGGGCGTCCCGGTCGGGGGAAATACAGATCGGTGGCTTCGCGAGGCTGTTGTGGGCGGTGGGACGAGCAGCCTGGCGATGCCGGGACATGGTTGGTGCCCAGAAATATTTATCGAAAAATAGCTTGCCCACTTGGATCTCGAGGACAGGGACAACCAAATCTTCGCCTGTAGTCCCAGGGGTATTGAGAAGGGAGGATCGCTTCAGCGGTTGGGGGCTGCAGTGGGCCGTGATCGCGCCACTGCACTCCAGCCAGGGTGACAGAGTGAGACCGTGTCCCTAAACAAAAGAAAGTCTCCAAGCATGGAGCCATGCAGCTGCATTTGGCTTTATGTCGCTCTCTCTACAGGGTACAGGTGGAAGGGGGCTGACCCTCACCATGCTTACCAAGTATCTGCCACTTCCCAGGAACTGTGCCCCTGGATAAATAAGCCGAGGTTCCTGACTATGCAGAAGCAGTAGCTGTGTGGTGGCACAGTCAGTAAAACTCGGGGGCCCTCTTGGTATTTTCTATCGCTGACCCGTGTGCATACTTCTGTTGTAGCTCTTACCACAGTAGATTCTGCTGTCTGAACCCTTTGCAACGTCTGCTCATGGTGAATGCTCAGTAAGGTTCACTTCTTGCTGCTATCTCGTCATCATCATTTCTATGTACCAGCTAGCTAAGAGTCTGGACTGTGGTTACATTCTCAGGAATGTTTGCAAGGTCATATTTAGGTGTGAGGAGAGTAGAACAGAGCTAGAGGTTATGTTGCACACAGCTGTTGGCACCGGATGCCTGGTAAATGTCTTGTGCAAATGAGTAATGTAAGGAGCAGCATTTGGAGTGTGCAGGACTTAAGTATTTGTGTATAACATATTATTGATGCCTGTGTGTCATACTCTGCTACTCCAAGTCTAGTACGCAATTGCATAACATCTGAGTCCGGCACTGAGGGAAGCAGTCTGGGTGGAGGTACAGCAGGGCATAATCAGCATTTAGGAGACACTTTAAACTAGTAAAGGTTGAAACAGCCATAGAGAAGGGGGTTAGGGGAATTGCCCATGTTGAGGGAGGGAGAGGCAAGTACAGCTTATAGTAGGGTGGAAAATGGAGGAGAGGTAAGAGACATGAAGAGGGCAAAGGATCACAAGTGTGGGGCAGGCATCTTTGGCTGTATAGTTAGTGTCATTCAGTCATGAGAGCTCAGGCTTTTTGGCAGACAGTGTCTTATATCAACTATATGACATGGGCACTGTTTCTTGTCCCCGTTTTACAATTAAGGAAACTTTTGTATGTTGAACTTGTGAATACAGGTCAGGCACGGTGACTCATCCCCATAATCCCATTACTTTGGGAGGCTGAGGTGAGAAGATTACTTGAGGTCAGGAGTTCAAGACAAGCCTGGCCAATATAGTAAAACCCTGTCTCTACTAAAAATATAAAAATTATTTGGGTGTGATGGCAGGCATCTGTAATCCCAGCTACTGGGGAGGCTGAGGCAGGAGAATCGCTTGAACCTGGGATGTGGAGGTTGCAGTGAGGCGAGATCGCGCCACTGCACTCCAGCCTGGGTGACACAGCAAGATCCCATTTCAAAAAATAAAAATGAAAAAAGAAGAGAACTTGTAAATACAGAATATTGTCTCTCCAGGTGGGAGTGGGAGGTGTGATCTTAAGCATACCTGCAGTAGGAAAATATTGTAGGGAAAACCACCCTAAGAGAATTTTGTGTGTGTACAGCATGTGGCAGGCAAGTTGGTGGTGAATGGAGAAGGTTGTGAGTTCCTGGGCCCCTGTCTCATTGGCTCATTGTCTCTCCTGTCCAGGAAGAGGAAGACAGATTTGGTTGAGGGGACTTATCTCTAACAACAGCCTCTTGTTGATCTTCCCAGGTAAGACCCCCCCCCAACCCCCTGCCACCCTGGGCCGGACCCCCTCTACAGCTAGGAGCCAATGGCAGAAGACAAAACCAAACCCAGTGAGCTGGACCAAGAGAAATATGATGCTGATGACAACGTGAAGATCATCTGCCTGGGAGACAGCGCAGTGGGCAAATCTAAGTATGTTGGGAGATTAGGGAAGAAATACCAGGCCTAGAGAGAGTCTGGGTCATTAAAAAAGTCTTCCACCAGCCTGGCCAACATGGCAAAACCTCATCTACTAAAAATACAAAAATTAGCAGGGCATGGTGGCACACACCCGTAGTCCTAGATACGTGGGAGACTGAGGCAGGAGAATCGCTTGAACCTAGGAGGCGGAGGTTGCAGTGAGCCAAGATCACACCACTGCATTCCAGCCTAGGAGACAGAGTGAGACTCTGTCTCAAAAAAAAAAAAAATCCTCCAGAGACAGAGGAGCATGGCTTCTCAGGGCTGGTGAAGGAGCAGTCTTGGCTGCAGCCCAGATGTTCATAGGGGAACGAGGGGAATCACTTGCACAGTTGTGTGTGTTGCAGGGACAGGGGCAGGTCATAGGGACTGGGGAATTTGAGTGTTCCCTCTGAGCCCGGTGAGAAGGTGTGGAGCAGTTGAGGACACTGTTTGTGGTGTGTGGGCAGAGGGACTGCAAGGGCAGGGAGTGGGAATGGAAAGGGAAAAGTGACTGCAACCGTGACAGATTGGCAAATGTGGTAAAGATGCTTTCTCGGAGGGACTGTCTGAGATGGAGGAAACTGGGTAGAACTGACGATTTGCTATGATCATTGTAAAGATTGGTGTATTCTTTTAATAAGACAGTTGGGGTTGAGGTTAGGGGTTAGGGTAGGGTTTAAGGTTAGGGTAGGGGTTAGGGTTAGGATTAGAGGGTTAGAGTTAGGGGTTAGTGGTTAGGGTTGGGGTTAGGGGTTAGGGTTGGGGTTACAGATGTGAGCCATGTGCCCGGCCAGGAAATGGCTTTTGAACAGAAGGAACAGCCTTCCTGGTCTGTGTTTCCCTGTGCATAACACAAGGGTAATTATTTGTGCAGCATTGTGCTGAGATGGAAATAACAGATTTGAGAGCTTCACATGCATGGTCTGTGTACTCTAGTGATATGAGCTGTTTTGTTATGACGGGTTGTTGTGCTTATTCCCAGGTTCCAGGCTTGACCTGGAAACTGTGTGGCTGTGTTGTAAAAGGGGAAAGGGAAGCCATAGGTGGCTTCCAGGTTATCAGCTTTAGGGTGATAAAGTTTGGGACAGTGGGCCGGGCATGGTGGCTAACGCCTGTAATTCCAGCACTTTGGGAGGCTGAGGTGGGTGGATCACCTGAGGTCAGGAGTGCAAGACCAGCCTGACCAACATGGTGAAACCCCATCTCTATTAATAAGGCAAAAATTAGCTCGGCGTTGTGGCACATGCCTCTAATCCCAGCTACTCAGGGGGCTGAGGCACAAAAATCACTTGAACCTGGGAGGCAGAGGTTGTGGTAAGCTGAGATTGCGGTAAGCCAAGATTGCGCCATTGCACTCCAGCCTGGGCAACAAGAGTTAAACTCTGTCTCAAAAAAAAAAAAAAAAAAAGTTTGGGGCAAGGGGGAGATGCATACACCATCTGACCACCTTGCCTATTCTGCTTACAGACTCATGGAGCGATTTCTCATGGATGGATTGTATCCTTCAATGTTTGAAATACCCCTTGTTCCTGCAGGTCTTCCCATGCTCATGTATCTGTGCCCCACTGCCCACCCCTTTGTATTAGCAGCCCAGGAAGAAGGATTGGGTAACTGAATGCGCAGGTTTTGTTCCGCACTGGTTTCTTGCTGATTGACCCACATGGCATTGCAAATCACTGCTGTATATTTTGAAGGTTACTCATATTTGGATTTGTCTTACATTAAGAGGGCAATAGAATGGCTAACAGCACGTAGTCTGCATCAAATCCCACATCCTCCTCCTCCTTAGTGGGTCCTGACACTGGGCAAGTCATTTAACCTCTCTAACATCAAAGTTTGGGCCCCCTACTATTGAACAAATCTCTGATATGAATGACCTTTGCAAAATAGGAGCTGCCAGCCCTACCTTCCTCCCATGAACTGTTATATTGTATAGGCTTGGAGTGAGTTCCTCCCTCCAACTGGGAGATTTTAAACAGCTTTCCAAGTGGATCCACTTGTGAGAAGAGCCCCTGGAGCCTGCTGCTCCCTGTCTTAACCCCAAAGCTCAGTTGTCTTACGATCTGAGTATGTCTTACTCCACCTTGTACCAAGTGCTTCTGCACACCCAGCCTACCTGCGTCACTTGGCTCTGCTGGTTACACTGTCCAGCATCTTGCGGCCACAGAAGGTGATATTCCCAGAGTTTAACCCATGTTTTCAGGGTTTAACACATAGGCAGACTCCAAACTGATAGACAGCTTGTGAGCTCTATGGCTTGTGGGAGTTTTTCCCTGGAATGGTCATGTTGCTACCAGACTTAGGGTTTCCTTTCTAGCCTGCAAAAGCTCCATCCACGATGGAGTCGCGACATCCACATTTGTATTTTCCAACTGCATGATGCCATTGATGACACTTGTCTGTAAAATCCTGTTCTGCATTTTACCTCAGACTTCGATGACCAGGACACACTCCCATCCCCTCCCAACCCTCACCCTTCCATGGAGCTTGTACCAGTGATATGTTGCAGCTGATCCTCTGCAACATTCCTTTGATTTAAAATCTCAATAACCCCAAAAAGAAGAGGAAGGAGAGGGTCCATTTCATCAAACCAAACACCCCTACTCCCCACCCCTTCCTTACCTCCCCTTTTATTGGTTTTTGCTCCTTAACCTGAGTGCAGTCAGCCACAGCAGCTGTCCACGTACGCCCTGACCATGTACAAGCACACAGCCACGGTAGATGGCAAGACCATCCTTGTGGGTAAGCAGCACAGGGCCAAGCCATGCTGACCCTCAGGAAAGAGGAAATGGGAGAGGAGGGGAGGCGAGGGAAGGTTGATAAAGACAGAGTCCAGAGGAAGAAAATGAGACCCCAGGCGGGGACAAAAGGCCATGGAGGGTGGAAGGAGGCACGCAGGGGCCAAGTCCCAGCCCTCTGACCTGGCGTCCAGACCAGCACCGGTGTGTGGGACAGGGTTCAGGACTAGAAGTCAGGAGGCCTACTGTACCTGCCAGAGGGAAAGAGAACGTAAGAGGCCTTCAACAAGGCAGTAGTTTTCCTAGCTTCAGGGGTTCCTTTTTAAGCCAGTTTAAACAAATAAAAAATATTGTCAGAACATTATCTCTCATGTAGGGCTTTGACCTGCCATTGGGTCATAACCTTCTTGGCCAGGCCACATAGCCTGCCTGACTGTCTACCATCTGTGGTCAGCGCACGTGAGAAGTGGGACTAATTTAGAACTTAGAGGACCCTGCATGTCTTGTGGGAAACAGGGAACCCATCTTCTTCCTCCTTGGGCTCCCAGTTTGTGTTGTTGTCATTCCTCCTGGCCCCTGACTCACTGTCTTCCCAAGCACACAGGTGAACACACACCTCTCCCAGCACATTCAGGTGCACTGTGTCTTGAAGACACACATGTAGAGCTGTGTAGTCTCTATTCCTCCCTGTGTTCCCCGTGTGCACTCAATGCACACACACATGCTGTGGTTTGTGTCACATGTGTGATGTATTTGGCACAGTGACTTGCACAGAAATGCACCGGGCATGTGGGTCTCTCTGACCTCTAGCCCCCAACAGGCAGTCAGAGCTGTGTTCACATTGCAGACTTTTGGGACACGGCAGGCCAGGAGCGGTTCCAGAGCATGCATGCCTCCTACTACCACAAGGCCCACGCCTGCATCATGGTATGAAACCCGGGGAAGGTGGACAAAGGCACTGGGCAAGTCTGGCCTGAGGGATGAGGGGCCTAGAAGCTCTGGACCGTCTAACCCAAGTCTCGGTGCTGTGGGAGAGGGGCTCAGGGCCACCCGGGGATGCTTCAAACCATACCTGCTCCCCAGAGCTTCTTAGTGAGAAGGGGACAGGTGAGCTCTCTGCAGGTGGGGATGGGTGAAGAAAAGGTGGAACAGCAAGCTCAGGGCTTCAACATCAGGTGTAGCATCCAAGCGGCACAGGTGTGCCTAAGAGAGGGTCAGAGTCCCTCTCTGACAGACCACCCCGTCAGACAAGCCCCTCCACTGTTGCCTGCTGCTGTTCCCTAGGGACAGATGCTGGCACTAAGTAGATGCTATGGGTACCAGAGAACCTTCCCTCCCAGGCCAGCCCCTTGCCTCCCTCCCAGCCTCTCATTTGTTGTCCAGGATACAGTCTCAGGGTTCCCACCCCAGTGGCCAGGGAGTGGTAAGTGCCTGAAGCACAGTGTGGGAAGGGCTAAGAAAGGAAAAACGAGTTCTGTAAACCTGTGTCCTACAGAAGTTCCTACCGTGAATTTCCTGGCTTGGTTCTCAGGCTACCACTTTTAGGTGCTGAAAAAGCATGTTTCTCTTTTGGGCCACTTATAAAACATTTTCATGGCTGGGCACAGTGGCTCACACCTATAATCCCAGCACTTTGGGAGGCCAAGGTGGGTGGATCACCTGAGTTCAGGAGTTTGAGACCAGCCTGGCCAACATGGTGAAACCCGGTCTCCACTAAAAATACAAAAAATTAGCAGGGCATGGTGGTAGACGCCTGTAATCCCATCTACTTAGAAAACTGAGGCAGGAGAATCACTTGAACCCAGGAGGTGGAGGTTGCAGTCAGCTGAGATCACACCATTGCACTCCAGCTTGAGCAACAAGAGCGAAACTCAGTCTCCACACTTGATCTTAGCCAAATGGCCTAGAAGCAATGCAAAACTCTGTCTCAAAGAAAAAAAACCATGCATTTCCATGAATATCAGCCATCTGTAATGCAGGAAGTAATAGACTAGTCTTCTGAATTATTAATCCTAGCAATTGTCACCAAGTGAAAACCTCAGTCCCTAAAACTTCTTAGAATAGGGTCTTCCTTTAACACAAAACCCCAAAGCTTGGTGGTACAAAACAACCATTTTCTGATGTATCAGGAATCCATATATGTCTGAAGTTTCAGCTGAGGAAACTTCAGGCCTGGGTTCCAGTCTGAAACTGTCTGGGGCATCTCCCCCCACACTCTGGCACTTGGCTGGACCACCAGCAGGTTCCGCTCTACGTGTCTCTTTATGCACTTTGGCAGTTGGGCTGATTTGGGCCTGTTCACAGAATGGCAGCCAAGATCCCAAGATCAAGCATTTAAAGAGAACGTGGTGGGACGTGTATTTCCTTTTATGGCCTAGCCCTGCAAGTTACATGGCACCCCTCTGGCCATAATCACAGAGGGAAGAAACAGACGGCACCTCTCAGTGGGGAATCAGTCACATGATGAAAAGAGCACATGGGATGGACAAGCTGCCAGCATTGTTGGTGTATATGAATACCGTCTGCCATGGCACTCCATGGCATTTAGACAGCCATCCTTCTAGCCCTTCCTCCCACTTAGCGATTGTCTACACGTATGCACAGCCTTACCTTGGCACTGAGAGGAATGCATGGTTGAACTGGTGTCATCTCATCTGTAAGAAGCAATAGCAGAGGGGATCCAGAAGGAGCTGCTCTGTTCTGCTCATTGTCACCTGCTCCTCTGCACACCTTCCTTCATGCTCCTCCCTCAGCCTCTCCTCAGCTCACACCCCTTTACTTGAAATACCGCTCATTTTTTTAGGCCCTGCTTAAATGCTGTCACCTCCATGCAGCTTCCTCTGATGTTTATCATTAGAATTACTCTTTCCTGTGTGCTCCTGCACCACTGATCCCTTCCACAACTTGGATTCTGTCTGTGATGTGCATGTGCAAAATGCCGGGAGTGCCACGGTGGGAAGACATGAGGGCTGCCCCCAGGAACTTACTGACTGGGGGTCACAGTACAGATGCCAGTGGTGAGGACAGTGAGGATTCTTCCCTTCTGGCCTTTTGCAAATGGTAAAGGAAGCAGCTCATCTCCTGATTCCCCCCAGCATTCCTTATGAGCAAAATCCCTTGAAAATTTCCAGGTTTTAACTCTGATAACTGTTAAGGTACTAAACGAAAGAGGATGACAGGGTAAGGCAATGGGAGCAGTGTAGTGCAGAAGTCTGACCCTCAAGAGCAGAGGAGCTTGGTTCTAGGCAGTTTGGTTTCAGGTCTGCTCTGGCATTTGGTATTTTGAGCTCACCTGTCTTTCTCTCAGAGTGACTGCCTCCTACATCTGATGCCTCTCCATGGGCTTCCCCCATACCCTCTTCTGAAGGCCTGGAGTGTCTCTCCTGCCACCATCCCTGTGTCTGCAGGTGCCTGCCACCAGCCCCAGTCTGCTGCGTGGGGCCTGGCAGGTAGAAGGCACTCATCTTCTGACCGCACGAGGACCTGAGGGGCTGAGGGTCAGAGTTGGAGCCAGGGCTCTACCCTCCACCTTGAAACCTTGAGATGGAGATACTCCTCGTTCTAGCCAGCTCCTCCTCAGCTCTCAAAACAAAGAAAGGATGCTCAGGAAACCAGACCTGAACAAAAGGCATCTGAGCCTGGTGGAAAGTAGATTCCAGAAGTTTTGTTATAGATATCTTTTATAAGGAGTCTTCATTGGGAATTCAAGACACCCTGGTGATTCATTGAATCCAGATAGACTTCCTGTTGCCTTTTTAGGTGTGACAGCCTCTGACCCTCCACACAGGGCGAGCCTCTAGCCTTGAGCTTGAACCATGTTGCCTGCACAAATACCTAGGTGATTTAGAAGTGAGGGCAGCTGTGCCAGCAGCTGCAGGGTGGTGGTTGTAACTTTACTGACTGTTGTACTAGGGCAGTTTGGGTGTGACACTTTTGAGGAACTCCTGTGAAGGGCACGAGGGGTCACTGCAGCAGCAGCTCAGAAGTTGTCTTGAAGAGTCCTGCCCCTAGAGCTGGTTTGCAGTGCTCATCTTTCTTGCTGTTATTTTTAAATAGGTAAAAACAGGCTGGACACAGTGGCTTACACCTTTAATCCGTGCACTTTGGGAGACCGAGGAGTGCAGATCACCTGAGGTCAGGAGTTCAAGACCAGCCTGGCCAACACGGTGAAACCCTGTCTCCACTAAAAATACAAAAATTAGCCAGGCATGGTGGTGCACACCTATAATCCCAGCTACTTGGGAGGCTGAGACAGGAGATTCGCTTGAACCCAGGAGGCAGAGGTTGCAGTGGCAGTGAGCCAAGATCATGCCATTGCATTCCAGCCTGAGCAACAGAGCAAGACTATGTCTCAAAAAAAGTTAAAAACAAAAATAAAATAGGTAAAAACAATAAATTATAAAAAGATAATAAAAGTATGAGCTACAAATAATAAAAAATAAAAATTACTTTAAAAAAGTTTTAAGAGGCCAGGCAATGTGTCTTATTCCTGTAATCCCAGAAATTTGGGAGGCCAAGGCAGGAGGATTACTTGAGCCCAGGAGTTCAAGACCAGTCCGGGCAATAGAATGAGACCTCATCTGTACAAAAAAAAAAAAAATTAGCCAGGCATGGTGGGATGCACCTGTAGTCCCAGCTACTCAGGAGGTTGTGGTAGGGGAGGATCACCTGAGCCCAGGAGGTCGAGGTGGCAGTAAGACAAGATTGTGCCACTGCACTCCAGCCTGGGTGGCAGTCAGATCGTATCTCAAAAAACAAAAGTAAAAACAGAACAAAAAAGTAAAGAAAAGCTTAAAAGTAAATTGGCCAGTCGCAGTAGCTCATGCCTGCAGTCCCAGTACTTTGGGAGGCCTAGGTGGGCAGATCACTTGAGGTCAGGAGTTCGAGACCAGCGAGGCCAACATTGCAAAACCCTGTCTCTTCTAAAAATACAAATATTAACTGGGCGTGGTGACACATGCCTATAAATCCCAGCTACTCAGGAGGCTGAGACATGAGAATTGCTTGAACCTGGGAGGCAAAGGTTGCAGTGAGCAGAGATCATGCTACTGCAATCCAGCCTGAGTAATAGAGTGAAATTCCATCTTAAAGTAAATCAAGGCTGGTCGTGGTGGCTCACGCCTGTAATCCCAGCACTTTTGGAGGCTAGAGTGAGAGGATCCCTTTAGGCTAAGAGTTTGAGATGAGCCTGTGCAACCTAGGAAGAGTCTGTCTCTACAAAAAAAAAATTTTTTTTTTGAGACAAAGTCTCACTCTGTTGCCTAGGCGGGAGTGCAGTGACATGATCTCGCCTCCCCGGTTCAAGTGATTCTCCTGCCTCAGCCTCCCAAGTAGCTGGGATTACAGGCACATGCCACCACACCCACCTTTTTTTTCTGAGAAAAATTTTTAAAAATTAGTGGGTGCATGCTACCTGGGAGGCTGAAGTAGGAGGATCCCTTGAGCCCAAGAGGTTGAGGTTGCAGTGACCTGTGACTGAGCTACTGCACTTTAGCCCAGGCAACAGAGTGAAACCCTGTCTCTAACAAATAAATAAATAAATAGATAAACGTAATCAATAGTAATTAAAGTAAAACTCTAGAAACATTTACAATTATTACAAAGGAACTTTAAAACAGTTTAAACAATAAATATAAAAGTAGACTAAAAAAATTTTTTATAAATTCTAACAGACTGTATCAATTGGTAAATTGATTCAATTTATGATTGTTAAAATTGGTGAATAACATTAGATGAAAAGATGAATAAGATTAGATGAAAAAGGAGTACGTTTTTTATTTATATATTTTTTCTTTTTTTGAGATGGTTTTCGCTCTTGTTGCCCAGGCTGGAGTACAGTGGCGCGATCTGGGCTCAGTGTAACCTCCGCCTCCCAAGTTCAAGTGATTCTCCTGCTGCAGCCTCCCAAGTAGCTAGGATTACAGGCACCCGCCACCATGCCTGGCTAATTTTTAATATTTTTAGTAGAGACATAGTTTCACCATGTTGGCAAGGCTGGTCTCAAACTCTTGACCTCAGGTGATCCACCAGCCTCAGCCTCCCAAACTGCTGGGATTACAGGCGTGAGCCACCGCGCCAGGCCAAGAATAAGATTTTTAAAAACAATTTTTGCATCTGGAGGCTCCAGGGGGCTTCCCTGAAAAAGGGCAGCCTCTGTGGTCAGAGAGTCTGCAATTCAGAGCATTCCGACGACCACAGCATATGCTCGTGCTTGCCTGCTTGGGTGTGTGAGTCTCCTGGAGATGGGGTGCAGAAACATTGACATACCTGAGCTATCTTTCTTCCTCTGCTCTTTGCAGGTGTTTGATGTACAGAGGAAAGTCACCTATAAGAACCTGAGCACCTGGTATACAGAGCTTCGGGAGTTCAGGCCAGAGATCCCATGCATCGTGGTGGCCAACAAAATTGATGGTGGGGCCATCCCTGCACCTGGGTGTCAGCAATGCATGGGCGCCTGCCACCATACATATCCTCCTCCATTCCTAGGGCAGGCAACCTTCAGTGATTTGTCCTCCCTCCCATGATAAGATACAACCCTTAGTTGCTTGCATTCTTCCCACCTTATGAAGAAGCCAGCTGAGCCAACCTGCCCTCTTTCCAAGACACAGATCCCTGTTAACGGAACCCTTTTTGGACATGTTTCCCAATCCATCCTGCTTATCACACTTTCTAGAATGAAGGCCTCCAGTGGCCCACCCTCCAAACCCTCTTCCCTTCCCTTGATGGACAGACCAATGTTATGCCTTGTCTCTACAGCAGACATAAACGTGACCCAGAAAAGCTTCAATTTTGCCAAGAAGTTCTCCCTGCCCCTGTATTTTGTCTCAGCTGCTGATGGTACCAATGTTGTGAAGGTATGGTCGATTGCAAGGTCAGGGCACTAGGTGGTAAAGGGAAGCTATGAAGAGACAGCTGGGGACAGTGCATGGCTTTGTGCAGCAAGGAGGGGAGAAGCTGATGGACCTGGACTTGATGAGGCAGAAGTCCATTGAGCATGCATAGGCCAGGGTGATGGGGAGGGGCAAATCAAGGGGTAAGGTTGCTGATTTTAGGCATGGAGTATTGTGTAGTTTCAGTGGTGCCAGTGGGGTGGACTGGGCAGAGTCCAAGACACTCCCATCCACCATGTCTACCTCACCCCCAGCTCTTCAATGATGCAATTCGATTAGCTGTGTCTTACAAACAGAACTCTCAGGACTTCATGGATGAGATCTTTCAGGAGCTCGAGGTAGGTCAGGTCCACATTTCGGGTGGGATAGAAGAAACGACTTCTCTTCGGGGGTAGGTACTGCAACCCAATATAGTGGTTCTCACCTAACTTTGCCCCACTAAATGTATCAGAGCTGCCGCTGAGTAAAAGCAGGGCCAGGCCTCACCTGCGACCTTGTTCACAGAACTTCAAGTTGGAGCAGAAAGAGGAGGATGCACCAGAACGGGAGCAGAGCAGCAGCATCGAGACCCCATCAGAGGAGGCAGCCTCTCCCCACAGCTGAGGGGCTGGGGCTAGGGGTAGGTGGAGCCCTTTCAACATACCATTTCCTTCAGCAACTCTCCAGCTGTGAATGGAGAAACCCTAGGCCATTCCCTCTCCTGCCTCCTGCAACCCCATCCCATTAGCCTCCCACATTCAAGGCCCTTGATACAGGGATGAGGTCAGTACCAGCAAACTGGACTGGTGGAAGAAGTCCACACCAGATCTTGAAGCAGAATTAGGGATCAGTATCATTAACACCTTTCTCACCCACCTCCCTCCAAGGCTAGACAGTGAAGAGAATCAGAAAACATGATTGTATGTCACTTTAATAAAGCAAATTTAGATGAGTTTTTTTTGTTTGTTTCCAAAGCTGACCTCAGGGACAATTCCTTGTGCTTCTGCCAAGGTAATGATTGCCCCTTATCCCCAATCCCCAGCTGAATCTGTGAGACCCCACCCTTTCCCTATGTGGTCTCCCACCCTTTTTCCTCTTCAGTTTCCCAATCATCAGTTTTTTAATAAAATATTTTTGAGCAGACAGCTATTCATTCCAGAGTTTTGTGTCCCTACTCTGTTTCAGGAGCTCTTCTAGGTAAAGCTGAGATCACAGGAACAGGTTTTCCATTATCGTTAAGTAAAAGCAGGTGACAGGCTCAAGCGTTATTGTTGGTAAAATCCAGAGTCACTGTAGCCACACTGCAAGGTACATCCATTTGGACTACAAGAAGAGATTAAAGTCCCTATTTCAGCATAAAGAGACTATCTTTTTCTTTTTTTCAGTAATAGCTTGGACCTTGTGCCTCCTGTGGGAGGCACAGGACTGGAAGAGAAGAGCTAGTAGATACGCCTGTTCACCTCTCTCTGGTACTTGTGGCTTGCTAGTATGTTTTTATGATAATCTCAGGCATCATTTGCATTGTGTTTATTAATAGGATTTTGTTTTTATTGTTTCCTTTTTTACAATAAAGGCTGAATTACAGAAACATTGAGTCAAGTTGTGTGTTTTGTGGCTCTGAAATATGTACCAGGCAAAAAGACAAAAGAACCTGCGAATCATCAGCCTTATCGGTGAGGGGTGGCTGCCTTGACCTATTGCAGGGTAACCCATGTTAACTCTCAATTCACTATAGTAGAGGCCATTTCAGTGGAACTTAGTGTTTTCAAAAGAATAGGTAGTAATTTGGGAGCTCAAAAACAAGCACATTTCCCCTTTAAATCAGCAGTACTTAGATGTTCAACATAAGATGTTTGACCTGATCAGGGGTTTCCAGGAATGTATAGCCTGATGAGGTGATATTTATAAAAATTTTGTTAGTATAAATGACTATAACTATTAAAGAAAATACAACCACCTTACAGAGATAGAATTTACATACCATAAAGTTCACCATCGCATTGGTTTTATGGAACTATTTTGTATCAGGTTCCTTAGAAGCTGACCCTGAGAAGGCCAGTGTTCAAATGACTTATTAGGGACATCCTCAGAAGAGTGAGGGTGGCAGGAGGGAAGAAGCTCAGCAAGGTTGTGGTCTCAGCTGGAGGCCAGCTTTACCATCCCACTCCCTGTCCCAGGGAAGCTCTGGAGGGCAAATTGCCTCCACGGAGTTAGTCCTGCCTCAAGACCAGAGGCCTTTTGTACCCTTCAGCCAAGGGTGTGAGGTGGAAGGGGGCCTTCTGTTTCAGTAAGGTCAATTGTCGGGGGAAAAGGGCAACTGTGCGCTTCATTTGTTAACACTCAAAGCAAGTGGAGGATGAGTTCATTATTTTCTGTTGCTGAATGGTATCCCATTGCGTGGTTGTACTTGAAGTTGATAATGCTAGTTTTTGTTTGAAAATAATTTTTCAAAGCAGCTGTCTAAACATATACAATTTAGGGGTGCATTTGTTGGATTGCAGGTAAGATTTGTTTATTTTTGGGAAAAACTGTCAAACTATCTCCCAAAGTGGCTGCATTCTACCAGTCATGCGTGACAGACCTCTTGTTCTTCAACCTCCAATTGTTATTGATGAACTATTTTTAGAGACCTGCAGTTCTACTAGATGTGCAGTGATATCTCAGTCTTTCGTTTTTTCTTTTCTCTTTCTCTTTTTTTTTTTTTTTTGAGACGGAGTCTCACTTTCTTACCAGACTGGAGTGCAGTGGCACCATCTTGGCTCACTGCAACCTCCGCCTCCTGGGTTCAATCGCTTCTCCTGCCTCAGCCTCTCGAGTAGCTGGGACTATAGGCATGTGTCACCATGCCCAGCTAATTTTTGTATTTTTAGTAAACAAAATTTCACCATCTTGGCTAGGATGTTTTCAATCTCTTGATCTTGTGATCCACCCGCCTTGGTCTCCCAAAGAACTGAGATTACAGGCATGAGTCACCGCACCCAGCCATCTCAGTATTATATTAATTTGCAGTCTCCTAATGTGACATGATGTTGAGCATCCTTTTGTGTGATTATTTGCTACCTGTATATTTTCGGGTTGTTTTTTTGAGACAGCGTCTCGCTCTGTCATTCAGGCTGGAGTGCAATGGCTTGATCTTGGCTCACTTCAACTTCTGCCTTCCGTGTTCAAGCAATTCTTTTGCATCAGCCTCCCAAGTAGCTGGGATTACAGGCGCCCACCACCATGCCTGGCTAATATTTTGCATTTTTAGTAGAGTGGGGGTTTCACTATGTTTGCCAGGCTGATCTCAAACTTCTGACCTTAGGTGATCCACCCGCCTCAGCCTCCCAGAGTGCTGGGATTACAGGCATGCGCCACCATGCCCAGCATGCTATCTATATGTATATTTTCTTTGGCTGGGCGTCTGTTCAGGTATTTATCCAGTTTTAATTGGGGTTTTAGTTTCAGGTTTTTTTTTTTTTTTTGAGATGGAGTCTCACTCTGTCACCCAGGCAGGAGTGCAGTGGCACAATTTTGGCTCATTACAATCTCTGTCTCCTTGGTTCAAGCAATTCTCCAACCTCACCACCCGAGTAGCTGTGATTACAGTTGCATGCCACCATGCCTGGCAATTTTTTGTATTTTAGTAGAGACGGGGTTTGACCATGTTGCCCAGGGTGGTTTTGAACTCATGACCTTGTGAAGACCTGCTCACCTCGGCCTCCTAAAGTGCTGGGACTATAGGTGTGAGCCACTGTGCCTGGCCAGTTTAAAATTCTTACTGTTCCTTTGAAGAGTTCTTTGTGTATTTTTAATACAGTCTTTAAAATCACATATGTATTTTGTAAATATCTTCTCACAGTCTGTCTTGTCTTTTTTGTTCTCTTAATAGGATTTTTCACAGTAGAAAATTTTTATAAAATCTGTGTTATGAATATTTTCATGAATTGGTGTTTGATGTTGTGCGTTAAAACTCAACACCAAACCCAATGTCACATAGACTTTCTTTTTGATTTCTTACAGTTTTGCATTTTCAATTACAGTCTCTGGACTATATTGAGTAGGTTTTTGTCTTTTAATTTGTGTGTACCTGTCATTCTATATGACTTCCAAATAATCCTTCCATTACCAGTTTTGGGAGGGATATGGTTATAGTGGGCTTCATTTCAGTTTGAATTTCCAAAGTTATGACATTGAATAAACTGAATATTGAATTTTATAGGTATTTCAGGACAACTAGGAGGGGGCGCACGTCTGCGGAGAAACAGTTGAGTAACAGCATTTGTGCTGAGCCCTGGCGCCTCCATAGGGCCCATGTACCCACTCCTGAGCATCTTCCCTCTGAGGTGCCAGAAGCGGCAAGGAGCTTTATCTTCCTCAGGGCAGCATGAAGATCGTGTCAACTTGGTGTTGTTCATCGGTGAGTAACAAACTTCCCGTCCAAAGCCCTGAGTGCAGAGAGTCTTCAGAGAGTACTCAGCAGAGGAAGGAATTCAGCTAGAAAAACGAAACCCTCAAATCCACTGTTTTGACTATGCTCTGATATTGTCAGTGTCCAAGACACAGTGGCTGCTAATAAATATTCTCACAGTGGTCTCTAATATGGTAATCACACCGTGCCCTCACACCAATATAATATTCACAGCATGCCCTAACACTAATATCCACATCATGCCATGACACTAATATATCCACACAGTAGCTTCTAATACTAGTAAATACAATAACGTCTACTAAGTGGAGTCTGTTGACATTGAGACTTTTATAAGGATTTCACAGCTTTGGTTGAACTATAGCCTCTACAATGGATTTTGATGAGGTCTTTGCTTTCCTGGCACGGTATTGATATGGTTGTTTTAAAAAGTAGTTTAATTTCCAATAATGTCACACTTCCAGGAATCTTCCAATAGCAGTACAAAGCGTAACCTGTTTCTTCTCTTAGATTTTGCAGCAGTCGTTGCTGTACCAGATTTACAATGTCCCAGAAAATAGCTTAGTATATTCTACCCAATGTACACTCTCCCGGGTAACCACCACATAACCCCTAGATCAGAAAATCAGCATGGTTCCTACATGATAATTCAGTCTACAAACTCATTTCATTTTTACCCTCTGTTCTGCCTGGGAGTATGATGTGTTTTTTCATTGTTCTGATCCATTTTTCCTTTCCTGGCACCGATCCCCAGACTTTCCTGCATATTTGTCACCTTGACAAATTTAAAGAGCATAAAAGTTTTCGTTTGAACGCCTGTCTTCAATTCTTTGGTGTATATGCCGAGGAATGGAATCATTGAGTCATACGGCAAATCTATTTGCAACTGTTTGAAGAAACACCAAATGATTTTACACATAGGCTGGACCGTGCAATACAGTCAGAAGCAGTGTTTAAGGGTTCAAGTTTCTGCACATCTTTGTCAACTCTTTTTTTGTTTTTTCAGTATAACTATTCTAGTGTGAAATTTTTAGAATTTTTTTTGAGACGGAGTCTTTCTCTGTCGCCCAGGCTGGAGTGCAGCAGCACCACCTGGGCTCACTGCACACTTCACCTCCCGGGTTGAAGTGATCTTCCTACCTCAGCCAGCTGAGGAGCTGGGATTACAGGCACAGGCCACTATGCCTGGCTAATTTTTGTATTTGCTGTAGAGACAGTTGTTCTTCATGTTGGTCAGGCTGGTCTCGAACTGCTAACGTCAGGTGCTCTGCTCACCTCAGCCTCCCAAATTGCTGGGATAACAGGCGTGAGCCACTGCACCCTGCCAATCCGAGGCATTTTGGTTTTCTTTCTTTTTTTCTTTTTCAGATGGAATCTTCCCGTTTCAGCCAGGATGGAGTGCAGTGGCTCGATATCAGCTTACTGCAACCTCCACCTCCTGGGTTCAAGCAGTTCTCCTCCCTCAGCCTCCCAAGTAGCTTGGATTCCAAGTGCATGCTAGCCAGCCCGGGGAATTTTCGTAGTTTTAGTAGAGACGTGGTTTTGCCATATTGGTCAAGCTGGTCTTGAACTCCTAACCTCAAGTGTTCTGTCTGCCTTGGCTTCCCAAAGTGCTGGGATTACGGGCGTGAACCGCCATGCCCACCCCTTCTTTTGTGGGAAAGGGTCCTGTGCTGTCGCCCAAGCTGGAGTGAAGGGTTGTGATCTTGGCTTACTGTGACCTCCACATTGTGGGCTCAAGTAGTCCTCCTGTTTCGGCCTCCCAAGTAGCTGGGACTACAGGTGTGTGCCACCATGAACTGGCTAATTTTTGTATTTCCAGTAAAGAGGGGGTTTTGCCATGTCGTCCTTGCTGGTCTTGAACTCCTGGAGTCACGTGATGCACCTGCCTCAGTTTCCCCATGTGCTGGGATTACAGGTATCAACGGATGTGCCCAGGCAGTTTTTAACTTTTTGAGGAATTACCAAACTGTGTTAAAAACGGGCTGCACCGTTTCTGTTCCCCGTACAGTATTTAAAGGTTGCGATTTCTCTCTCACCTTGCCCACACTTGTTAATTTAGATTTCTGGGATTATAGGTTTTCTGGTGTGTGTGAGGGAGTATATCGTGGTTTCAGTTTAGGTGACCATAAGGATAATGATAGTGGTCATCTTTTTGTGTGCTTGTTTTCCATTTGCATGTA